AATAAATAAATAAATAAATAAATAAATAAATAAATAAATAAATAAATGAAGGGAAAAAAAGAAAAAGAAATTAGATTCTCTCTATCAGTTTTGTACTGAATTACAAATTGATAACACTTCTCTGATGAGTTTCTCTGTAAAAGATCCTGTAAATCATATTTAATCTTACTTTCTTTAAGTGCCTTTCTCTCATAAACATACTTTTGACAATAAAGCATAACATGTTCTAAAGTTTCCTCTTCATAACAGTAGTCACATCTTCCTGAATGGTGTTTTCCCATTTTGAATAAATTACTATTTAATGCTGTATGACCAAATCGCATCCTAGAAACTCTTTACGAGTTCTCCCCATACTTCTCATCCCACCTACTTTTCTTTGAATTCTGTAGAACCACCTTCCCTTTCTCTCTTCTTCCCACTGCTTTTGCCACCTTTCTCTCAATTTAAACTTGATAATAGTTTTCATTTCAGCTTTGCAGAATGGAACCATGATATCAATATAATCCTTTTTTGTTGCTTCCTTTGCATATTTATCAGCTAATTAATTTCCTTTTATTCCTATATGTGCTGGTATCCATACAAGTATTACATTTATGCCCATCATTTGAATCCTATATAATGTTTGTTGCATGTCTATTAGAACATCTGGTCTTCCTTCTGATTTGTTATTATTAAGACTTATTAAAGATGAACTAGAATCAGAACATATTACTGCTCTCATAGGTCTCACCTCTTCCACCCATTGCAATGCCAACAAAATTGCCATCATCTCTCCCGTATACACTGATAGTCCATCACTAATTCTTTTGAAAAATGTAACGCTGAATTCTGGAACTATTACTGAAATGCCAATTCTATTAACTGAATTTTTTTAAGCATCTGTATAAATCTGAACACAGCCATAACAATAATTATCTAAGTATGTATTTATTCTTTGTGGGTACATATGAAATACCTTATCTTTGTTCTTCTTGTCAAGCAATGTTAAATCAACAATCGGATCAGGAATTATCCATGGATGAATTACTGAAAGTGGAACAGTCGGACAAATATTTATTTCGTTTACTTCTAGTTCTTTTGCTTTCTGTTCAACTATCCATCCAAAACTTTTTAATTCTTTTTCCTCTTTCTCCCAAAATTGTTTCAGTACTTCTTGAGTTGGATGATTTTCTTTATGTCCTTTTAACTGAATCCAGTAAGTCAAGGCTTACTGTGTTCTCCTTAATTCTAGTGGCATTTCTCTCATTTCCACTTGCAAAGCTGATGTTGGGGTTGTTCTAATTGCACCTAAACAGAGTCTCGAAGCTTGATACTGAATATTGTCTAACCTCTTCAAATATGTGTTTGCAGCCAATCCATACACAATACTTCCATGATCTAATACTGACCTGATTAATCCTGTATATATAGTTTTCAATGATGTTCTATCTGCTCCCCATTCTTTACCCACCAGACATCTCATTACATTTAAAACTTTTTTACACTTGTCAATTATTTTCTGAATATGTACACTCCATGTAAGTCTTTCATCAAACCATAATCCCAGAAATTTGAATTGTTTCACCCGTTCTAATTCTTGATTATATAATCTAAGATTTAAATAACCAACAGCTTTTGTTCTTGTGAAAAACATTGTCTTAGTTTTATCTACAGAGAATTTAAATCCCCACTTAAATGACCATTCTTCTATAGCATTAATAGCTTCCTGAAGTTTCTTCACAATATACACCAAATTGCTGTCCCTCTTCCAAATTGCACCATCATCTGCAAACAGAGAATATCCCATCCCATTTTCTACACTTCTAAACACATCATTTATAATAGAAAATTACAAAGGGCTCACTATACTCCCCTGAGGCGTTCCATTTTCACTAACAAGAAACAAATTTCCCTGAATTGTCACGGTGGTGCCCTGGTTGAGGTTTTTTCGTCTCGTCTTTTTGTCGTCTCGTCATTTCCTGTTTTATTTTGAAGACTAACCCTCATCTCGTTTCAGGTCACTTGCACTTCCTGTTGTGTCACCAGTCCGATCGTCTCCCTGATTACCTATTGTGTTCACCTGGTGCCCCTTCCTTCATGTGTTTAAATAGTCTTCGTCTCCCCTTGTCCTGTGCCAGAGAATTACGTTTGTCTCCTGTGCCCACGTTCCATAGCAATCTCCAGTCATAGTTCCTGAGTCCTAGCTTCCTAGCCCTGTTTTCAGTCCCCGTCCTTGAGCCCCGTTTTGCCTCGCTTCCGAGTGATTTTGAGTTTGGTTCTCCTAGCCCTGTTCTAGTGAGTATTCTTTTGTTACTTTGTTTTTTCCCACGTCCTCTGCTAGAGTGATTTTTTGTTGTTACTTTTTGCCTCCTTTCGGAGCGCCTGCCGTACCACTCCGTTGGAGTGCGTTTTGTGTTTAATAAAACCTTTGGAACTGTTAAGGTTTTATCCTTAATTCCTCCCGGTCCTTATGGAAACTTGGAAAATGAACTGAAGAGATCTTTAGCAATGAATGGAATTTATTCCGGCCACAAGTAAGATATCACAGCGCTGGACTCTCTGGAGAATGTTGTCTCAAAGACGCGATCCCACCAAAGAGCACCGAATACACGTCACTCAGGTACATTTATCTCCTTGGGCTAAGCTCCGCCCCTTACAATGCAAAACTGGTCTTCGCAACACCGAATTGTAATTGGCCAGTTAACTCTAACCTGAACATGCCAGCTTCCTGTTCACGTGATCGTATAGTGTAGTAACAAAGTGTTGTGAATGTTGTTTGTTGGCGTGCAGCTAAAAACACAGAATAAACATCAACTTTAACAGGATCTAAAAATTAATTCTTTCA